GGAGTTAGATAATGTTCAGTTTATGGGAGGTGCTCTAACACAGGATCAATTCAGAGACAGAAGCATATGGGTGGCTACGTATAAACAGTTGCTTAATTTGAAGAAAATTCATTGGAGACAAAGATATCATGTGAAGTGGCTCAAGGAGGGTGATAAAACACTAGATTCTTCCATACTATTGCTAATGCAAGAAAGATGGGTAACTCAATTCAAAGCCTCCGTATTGAATGAGTAGACTGTGACAACATGACAGAGATTGAAAGGCCACTGGTTGATCATTTCAAAAAGTCTTATGAGGCCGATAATGAGCTTTAACTATCCATTCAAGATTTACCTTTCAATAGGTTGCCATTAGAATAAGCTCAATGGTTGGAGAAAATTTGAAGAGCAAGAAATCAGAGATGCAGTCTTTGGCCTAGGTAGAGATAAGGCCTCCGGCCTAGATGGATACCTAATAGTATTTTTTCAATCTTTTTGGGATATTTTGAAAGATGATATTCTTCAATTGTTGGAAGAATTTTATTGGAGGGATAAAATTAATATTGTCATGAATTATACTTTTATTGCTTTAATCCCAAAGAAATATATCATTGCGGATATCAAGGATATTCAGTCTATTAATCTTATTGGCAGTCTTTATAAAATCATTGCAAATATTTTAGTTAATAGGTTGTGCCAGGTGATTCACATGGTTATTAAAGGATTACAATCAACATTCTCGAAGAATAGGCAAATTATGGATAGTATTTTGGTTGCACAAGAATGTATCCACTCAAGAATCAAGGATGATAAACCATACTTTATTTGTAAGCTAGACTTTGAAAAGACATATGATAAGGTTGGTTTGGGGGTACTACAAAGTATCATGCGTAAAATGAGTTTCATTCAAGATGGAGATTGTGGATTGACGGTTGCTTGTCTTCTACCCATATTTTCATATCTTGTTAATGGCAAAGCAACTAGTTTTTTTAAAGCATAAAGAGGACTAAGACAAGGGGACCCTCTTTCATATTTTTTATATACTTTAGTAGCTGAGAGCTTTAGTGTCATGTTTAATGGATTGACAATGCAAATTATCATATCAAGTGTTAATATTAGTAATAACGGTCTTATAGTATCACATTTACAGTATGCTGATGATACTATTATATTATGTGATCCCACGGTTACTGAAATCACTTGCTTATGGATTTTTTTGAAAAGCGCAGAACTCTCAATTGGACTTAAAGTTAATTTGAGTAAAACCAAGCTCATTAGTATTGGCTGTCCGTAAATGGTAGTATCAAGAATGACACATTTATTAGGTTTGGGTGTTGAGTCCTTACCTTGTACTTATTTGGGAATTCCCCAAGTAAATTCAAGGCCTTCAAAATCAATTTGGGATCCAGTGGTGGAGAGACTTGAGAAGAAACTGGATACTTAGAAAGCTAAAACTCTTTCTATGAAGGGAAGATATATGTTGATTAAATCCACTTTATCTAACCTCTCAGTATATTTTATGTCTTTATTCAAGATGAACCGTTGAGATACCTTTTCTCTGAGGTTTTCTCAAAAGCTATGAACCCGCTAGCATCTGTTAAAGAGGCTAGTGGAGTATTTATACTAATATTGTTTGACCCATTTCTTGTAGGTACAAAAGAGGTACAGACATATTCATTGAGGAGTATCAGACATTGTTGAAATTATTGAATGACACATATTTGATTCCAAATATGAATGATAGCTTTATTTAGGATCTTACCCCTTCGGGAAACTTTTCGATTAAGTCAACCTACAACCTATTATTTTCTGATCGTTGGAGAGAATTAGATGCTAGTTTATTCAAGATTAAGAAATTGCATGTGGCCCTTAAAGTGCAGTTATTCTTATGGATCATGTGTCAAGATAAATTAGCAATTGTTGACAACTTGAAAAAGATGGGGTTTATTATCACCAATATATGTATCCTGTGCAAAGCCAGTGATGAAACTTCGCAACATATTTTCCTCTCATGCCCTTTGTTACTTATCTTTGAGATTGGGCTCGTCAGTGCCTCAATCTGTTATTACTTTTGCCCCAAAATGTTGGAGCTCTTCTTGACTAATGGATCACACCCGGTATTTCAATGATAGGAACTATCTTTTAGAGATCTATGTGGGTTAGCCTTCTTTGGAACGTGTGGAAGAAAAGAAATAGAAGAGTCTTTGATAGTATAAGTGCAGATCTGTCTACATTAAAATCGAATATTTTGGCAGTTGCATCTGATTGGTTCCTTGCACATAAGGATAGTGGCTTCATTCCTTAAAGTCTTATCATTAGCAATCCTTCAGCTGTGGCGACTTTGGGTATTACCATCAAGACTCGTAGTGAGGTTGTTTGGATACCACCACCAGTGAATTCCTTCAAACTTAATTTTAATGGAACTTCACTTGGTAATCCAAGGTTAGCCGGCTATGGTGGACTCATCAGAAATAATTTGGGTCACATTATCTGTTCTTACTTGGGTCTTTGTGGTATCAAAACAGCAAATGAGGCAGAAGTATGAGGTTTATTAAAAGATATGAAATTGCTATGCACTTTGGAAGGGGACATGATTATCGATGGACACTTGGCAAATGTCATTGCTTGGAGTAAGAGAAAGGCCAAAATCCATTGGAGATTAAGGACAATTCATCAAATTTGGGATATTTTGTCAACCTCTATGGCAACGGTCCAACATTATTATAGAGAGACGAATAAAGATACCGATGTCCTTGTTAAAGGAGGTGTCCATACTCCATCTCTATTGGTTACTTCTTTTCTGTAATGTTGTGCCATTGCTTGAACATCTTGTATTTTACATATAAAATAATGATAAGTCATACATACGTTACCGTTAAAAAAAAAACAAAAAAGATTTACGCACGGACCCTAAAATTTTTCTCAAAATATGAAATGCTCCATTTATAGGTGAAAATTACAAAAAATATAGGTCAACTTTTTTTTTTTTTAAATTACCCCTCAGTCCGGGACATCCTCGGACATAATTTTAATATTTTTTCGTTAGTAGGGTAGTGCCTTACTAACAAAAATATTTTAAAAAATAAAATTAAAATTCAAACAGAGGATTCCTTCCTTAGATCAAAGGGTAATTTTGAAAAAAATAAAAATAAAATAAATTAACTGACCTATGTAATTTTTACCTATAAATAGATAATTTCGTACTTTAGAAAACATTTTAGAGTCCATAGTACGTAAATCACTCACCCCCTAATACATTGGAACTATTTTTCCTTATTGTTTAGAACCTTTTAACTTCTTCCTTTTACCTTTATCACGATAAATTTTCTTGTGATAATGACTTTAATAATATTCTGGTAAAAGAATTTATCACAATGTTTTAGGCCCTCAAGTTATTATCATGATAAGAACTTTTATGGATAAGGAAATGCATGTAATTTAAGAGCAAAATTGGCATTTTGAATATGTAAAACGTCATTTACCGAAAAAAGGCTCTAGAAATCTGAGTAAGGCAAGTGGGGAGGAATGTTTAAGGACAACAACATAAATATGTAATTAAAGCGCTTAAAATGAATAATAAAAATTCTAGTGATTTTTTATGGATCTTAAATTTTTTTTTAAAATATAAAATGTTTCATTTATAGGCAGAAATTACAAAGAAAGTTGGTTAACCCATTTTTTTATTTTTTTCATAATTGCCCTCGGTCTGTAGATTCCATCTTCATACCGAAATTCCTTTTTTTTTTTTTTTTTTAAGTTTTTCGTTAGTAGGGAAATTAAATTTGAAATTAAAACTAACAAAAAAATAAAAAAATTAATTAAAATTCCCAAAACAGAGGAGAAATTTTGAAAAAAATAAAAAAATACAAGTTGACATACCTTCTTTGTAATTTTCACCTATAAACAAATAATTTCGTATTTTAGGAAAAATTTTAGGGTGCCGACGTAAATTACTCCAAAAGTTAATATTTAGTTTGGGCGTGGTTTTTATAAGATTGCAACTTTAAACAATCCAATTAAGGTGCACCTTTAAATTTTATAACAATAAGTAATTTTGGTATAAAAAATTATTAAAATTATCTTAAAATCTATTTTCATATCTAATTATAAAGCTTTAAACTCCAAAAATGATTAAAATAAAATAGATCTATAAACATATGAAAATCTTGAAAATAAATGGTCTAGATCATGTGTTGTAAGATGCATTATTTTAAAAACTCAATTTTGTTTTTTTCATATTCATTCATCTCGATGTCGAGATGATCAATTAGAGGGTTTTTTAACATTAAAAAGACCCTTGTAAGATGGATTTTTGAGATATATATATGTAATTCTTGCGATCATATATAAACTTTTTCCTTTTAGTTTTGACATAATGATGCCATTCCAATTACTATGACACTTCTCAAAGGTAGGCTGGATAGATGTCGGTATACACGCGGATGACTTGATAGAAATCCTTATTTTTAAATTCAAGAAAAAGGAGAGAATCCTTTACCAAATTACACAAAAAAAAATGGACAATCTTCCGCTAAATTGAAAACTTGATGCTTATTAAAAAATATGATTGATTTCGTTTAATGCGACTATTGTTAATACGGAACTTCGCAGGGCTAAACAAAAATGAAGCATTTATCCTTCATTATTATTCTGAGAAAACACCAACGCATCATTCATCATTTTGAACTTTATTAGATCCCTCGCTCTCTCTCTCTCTCTCTCTCTCTCTCTCACCTAAACGGTATATTTGAAATTTGTCGCCTCCACTTTTAAAAATGAGGATGGCGCACCGGTTTCAAAACGGGATTCTCAAGGGGTGTCCCACTTATGTTACATATCATTCTCACCTTTTTTCTACGTTATTTCCTGCCAAGATGATGTTACAGAGAGAGTACTGAATTTCGGTAAAAATTAAGTCTCTAAATTACTCTTTTTTCAGTCATTGAGAATGAGAACAGAAGCTAGAAAAAAAGCGAACAAAAAATACAATAAAATTTCTGCAAAATTACACTTCAAAATTCCTCTTTTTACAGAGAAGCTAGTCCTTACAAGAACTGGAAAACAAGTTACCTACAGTTAAATCGTGGCAAAAAAAGTTAAGTAATGCAAATCTCTAGAGAGAAGTAGAAATGAAGACTATTATAAATTTAGCGAGAAAGAAAGAGATAAGGCACTTCCTTCTCTGTAATATTGAAAACCAAATCCTCGTCAATCCTCACTTCATGTAACTCTCTTGAAACTGCATTGCCTGTTCGATGGAGATCACGCACTTCCCTTCGCTGTAAAGCTTCCTCTGAACACCAGACGAACCCATCAAGACCTGAAGCATCTGCTGCCTCGAAAGACACCCAAAATCGCTATATTCTCCATTTCCTTCCCCACAATCTGTCTTCACATCCGAGTTGGAAGGCATAGACTTCAACACCGAGATTTGAGCTTTCAGAAACCTAATGTATTTGTATGCCTCTCCAAGCATAGTTGCAGTATCCATTTTACTATCCCATGGCATTAGTTTCTCGAGGCTCCTGGTTAGTTCGCTGATCCTCTTCCTCCTTTGACGAGCATAAAAGCTCTGAGGCGCCATTGATGAACTTGAAGAAGAGAAATTAGGAGTATAATGAGTTGCAGAAGATGGAAGTTCCATGGTTGATGGTCCAGAAGCCCAATAATGGTTCATTGAAGTTTCAGAAGATGCTAAACCGAGAGATGAAGGACCAAGAGGAAAAACAGGGTTAGAATGAGTTGGAGATAAGCTCGGAGTGGAATCAGCAGAAGAGTGAACAGACTGGTTCTGGCTCGTCTTAGAACTCACGCCCTCTATAAAGTGCTGAAGGACGTGTTCGAGAGTGTAGCATGAACAAGATCTCAAGCGTTTATGTGAAGCCTCTTCCTCTTCAGCTCTCTTAATGGAGGATTGAGAATCACAAACGACAGAAGGAGAAGAAGCATTTGAAAGATTTGCTTGATGAGTTTCATGTCCTGATGATGAAGCAGAGAAATGATTTGAACTGACAAACAATGGCGCGGGGATTGGAGAATATGAGGTTACCAGGGTTTCTGAGGCACTCTCTAGAGAGAGAAGATCCGGCAAAGCCTGAAATTGCAAATGGTTTAGAGATTCAATCATGGTTTGGTCCTTTTCGCCATTAAAAGGGTTTATCAGTTCACCACTAGAAGGGTTTGTGAGGTTCTGGAAAAGCAGATCCGATAAACCAATCGCATGATTTTCAAGATCACCGTAATCCTCAACTGGTTCGTCCTTTGGTGTCTTGGTCTTGAACATGGTTCTAGGATTAGGGTTTTCTGGTGAGATTGCTCGGATGATCCTTTGAGCTTGAGAGCTCTGTTTCTTCTGCCCATGAAAACCCTGTTTTCCTTGATGGGGCAATGCACTTCCTTCATCGCCATTTTCCAGATTGTAGTCTGAATCCGGCAAACGAACGGCCGGATTTTGTTCCAGAGGTTGCCGGAAACTTGCTCGAGCTTTACGTTTCATGGCATATGGGGATTTCACAAGAGAAAACATGAGAATACAGAAGAAAGAGAGAGTTCAAAATTTAGTGAACTTGTAGAGCGGGCGAGAGAGATGTATTAATTTAAGCTGGTGGGGCAAGGTGCCACGAGGATAATTTTTACGTGCGAACCGGCTGTTGCCGGTCCCCTCGTGTGAACTGCCTGTTGCCTGTTGGGCGTGGGTGGCTCAGACGGTTACGCGATTTGCACGCGGCCTCTTCCGGTCGCTCTCACACGTGCTAAGGGGGACAGGATGTACGGAAAGAAGATCAGGGTGACAGGTGTCGGTTAAGCCGTCACTTCAAAAGGCTGCCATGCCGTTTACGAAAGAGGGGGCGTGCAGGATACAAGTGCGGTGGATGGCGTAGCATGCAGGGGGATTACGGCGAGGTTTTTTTCGGACTGGGCCCACGTCTTTGTCGGGCGAAGCAGGGTGACGGTCGGGATTTTTCAGGTGGCTTTTGCAAGACTCAGGAAATGTGATGTGAGACACAAAAGCCCTACCAATGATTAGTTTAGGATCGCTCGGGAGTATATTGTCTATTTACTCTTTCGGATAAAACCCTACCAAATGATTAGGTTTAGGATCCTAAAGTTTGGGGATATAACCTCTTACCTTTTAAGTGCTTGAAACAAATAAAATGACAACATTGAATAGAAACTATGGATTAACATCAATAATTTTTTTTTAATTGCACCTTTTAAGTACTCGAAACAAATAAAATGTCAAGATTGAATAGCACCTGTCAATTTTTTAAGGATACAGTTTGTATAGAGCTGAGGCTCTAAGCAATCAAAGTAAGGCACACCTTTAAATAGTTTTGAGAAATATAATTTTAATATTGAAAATATTTGTGATAGCGATAAAGTATATTTTTATCTTTAATTATAAAATTTAAAATTTAAAAAATCATGTAGATCAAGCAGATCTATGAAAACTTGAAAATTGACAATCCAAAAATGCGTTACAAAATGCACTATTTCTAAAATTTAAAATCCAATTTTTCCTCATGTCTATGCATCTTGATGTCGAGACGATCAATTTGAGGATATATGAGCATCAAAACAACATCTTCTAGTGAAATTTTTTAGGTGGGCTCTAATTTGATTGTTTAGAGCCTCGACTCTATATAAACTTTTTCTATTTTTTTAAGGAAAAAGTTTATACAGGCTCTAAACGAGGCTCTAAACAATCACTAGAGCCTACCCCAAAAATTTCATTTGAAGAGGTTGTTTTGATTCCCAAATATCCTCCATTTTATCATCTCGGTATCAAGATGCATGGACATGAGAAAAAAATGGTTTTCAAGTTTTAGAAATAGTGTATTTTGTAACGCATTTTTAGACCATCAATTTTCAAGATTTTCAAGTTTTCATAAATCTGTTGATCTACACTATTTTTGAAGTTTTAAACTTTATAAATAAAGATGAAAATATATTTTAAGGCTATCACAAAGATTTTCAATATTGAAATCACATTTCTAGATACTATTTGAAGGTAAGCTCTAATTTGATTGTTTAGAGGCTAGGTGAGATCTAAGTGATAGATATCTTAAATCTCAAATTTGATTCTTTGAGAATAATCATCTAAGGATTCTAATATGGGTACCAACATTTAAGATTGAAAAAAATCTCCCAAATAATTCATTTGACCAAGGGAATAAAAGTAAACTATGTTCCCAAGGGAGCATAGTATACGTGCTCAAATGACAATCCATGGCTTTTGGAATGACATAGCTTTGGCCTTGTGGTATTGAGTGACAATACAATATCATGAAAGTTTTACGAAAAAATAGCTTTTCTAATATCTAGAAAAAAAGGGCTTGTCAGTTGTAGTCATGTGCGGCGCAGTCCTCTCTCTCTTATCCATCATCAGCGGTTGCTTGAAAGGACCGAATGATTCTCCAAAAATTTCAATTTTTTTTAGATTAGGAGTAAGATGGCCAAAATCTAAAATCTAGTTCGTCAAAGGAATTTAAAATTATTTGATAATTATATATCATTTATCAAATATATAGTGAACCTAATAGGTAGTGTAAAACACACTGGTGGTGTCTTTCAAAATGACGGAAGGTATACCATGCGAGAGGTATTAGAAATATAATATAAAATTTTTTGAAAAATATAATTGATCTTATTATAATTTTTGCATTTTGTAATATCTATCGATATTTGTAAAGATTGATATAACCTAAACGTTCATTGAGTTAATTAAGGATTTTTATGGAATATTTTGTATGCGGGTTCTATAAGGCCTTAGTAAAGCCTCATTTCAAAATCTCACCATAAAATACAGTTCCAACATGCGAACCTTTATGATGGATTGGAGATCTATTTTCACCGCTGATTATGAAGTTTAACATTCAACAATGATACAGCTCTTGTCGACCTATGATAGTAGAAAATAGACCACTTAAATAATGTGTTATGAGATATTGTTGGCGAAAAGACGGTAAAAGATTTGTGGGAAAAATTGAAAAGTTTGTATCAAATAAAATCCCTCACAAACCAAATTTTTTTAAAAAGAAAATTGTATTCTTTGAGAATGAAAGAAGGTACAAATGTGTCGCAACACTCGAATGAGTTTAATAACATGATTTGTCAACTTGAGAGATTGGTGCGAGAATGGACGATGAAGATAAGGGGGTCACCTTACTTTGTTCATTGCCAGAATCTTATGATAACATTGTCACTACATTAAGTTGTAATAAATATGATTCTCTTGATTTGGGCTCGGTGTATAGTGCCTTACTTGCTGATGAACTTCGAAAGAAAGCATATTTGGGAAGTTCAATAGAGATGCAAATGAAAGCTCTTGTGGCAAGAAATCGATCGAATGAACATGGTGATTCATCGAGGAATCACTCAAGAAGTAATTCAAGATTTTGATCAAAATCTAGAGGGCCCAATGACAAGAATGTGTATTGGCATTGTGGGAAGCCCAGACATATAAGGAAGAATTATTTTAAAAGAAATGAAGAGAATTCTTCAAAAGCTCTTAAAGCGAGAGGTGTAAAGCCAAGTGAATCCAAGAATGAAGCAAATCAAGTTGAAGAGTCTACATCCGAGTTCATTGAAGTTGAAGTATTGATGGTGGCATATAATTCAATAATCTATAGAAGTTGGATACTTGATAATAGAGCCACCCATCACATGTGCCCCCATAGATAACAATTTGACTCATATGAGTGATGTGAAGGAGGATCGGTATCCTTGGCTAATAATTCCACTAGCAAGGTGGTTGGAATGAGTTCGGTTCACCTAAGGTTGTTTGATGGGACTATTCGGTCAATTAAGGATGTTAGGCATGTGCCGAAACTAAAAAAAAACTTGATTTCCCTCTCTTCTCTAGATTCGGAAGGCTATAAGTTCACCGGTCAAGGTGGAGTAATGAAAGTATCAAAAGGGACTCTAATTGTGACAAAATGAGTCTTAGTTGGGAGCTTGTACAAGTTATTGGGAAGCACAATGACAAATGATGAAGTGAATTCTATAGTCGAAGGTGAAAAAGTTTCATTTCACCTATGGCATAGAAGATTGGGGCATATAAGTGATAAGGGTATGGAGGTCTTGATGAAGAAGAATTTTATTCCTACACTTAAAATTGATGGATCCGAATTTTACGAGCATTGTGTCTATGGGAAACAACATATACAACTTTTGAAGGCCAGGAAGAATATAGGCAAGTGTAAACTTAATTATATTCAGTTAGATGTATGGGGCTCTTCACCAACTACATCTTATGGCGGTACATTATATTTTGTTTCATTTATTCATGACATCTTAAGAAAGGTATGGATCAAAACTCCTAAGTCAAAAAATGATATTTGTACATTCAAGAATTTTAAAGCTAAAGTTGAAAAATCTACCGGGCATCACATCAAAGTTCTTCGGACCGATAATGGTGGAGAGTTTGTATCAAATGAGTTCGAAAATTTTTGCAAGGTCGAGGGAATTACTAAGCATTACACAAGTGCCTACAATCCTCAACAAAATGATGTGACCGAGAGGATGAATTGCACTTTGATGGGGCGTGCGAGATGCATATTAAGCAATGTCAGCCTAAAATAAGAATTATGGGTGGAAGAAGTATTAATGACTTGCTATTTCATCAACCGATCACAATCGGTAGCATTAGGAAGCAAAACTTATAATGAGGAATGGTATAAAACTCCGAGTGACTACTTTGATTAAAAAAATTTTGTTGTGATGCCTATGCACCTATTCCAAGTTGCTAAATGAATAAATTAGATCCAAGGTCAAAGAAGTACATCTTTGTAGGTTATAGCAAGGGTGTGAAGCGGTACCGGTTATGGGATTCAAGTACCCAAAAAATAATCACTAGTCGTGATGTGCATTTTGATGAATCCAAGGTATTGGCAAAAGGGATGATGATAAATGATAATGGTCAAAAAGCGCAACAAGAGACCCAAAACACTTCCACCAAGTACAATTATGCTTTATGAGAATATACCCATTGATCATGGTGAAGAACTTGAGGAATTGGAAAGTCAAGATGAAGAACCACATGGCCATCATGATGAAGTTGTGCCTTTGGCACATAGTCGCTCTACTAGAGAAACTTGTGCACCCGAGTGACACAAAGATTATGTGGATTCAAATACTTTGCATGCTTTGATAGGCAAAAATGAAGAGCCAACATCATTTCGTGAAGCCATTGATAGTAATGGTACCGAGCATTTGAAAAGAGCTATGGAAGAAGAGATATTGACCCTTCAAAGAAACAAGACTTGGGATTTGGTGGAGCTACCAAAAGGCAGAAAGGTCGTTGGTTTTAAATGGGTGTTCAAGATAAATGGATGTGAAGACATCTTTTATACATGGAGAACTTGACGAGGAAGTGTACATGCAACAACCGTAAGGCTTAATAGAGAAGGGCAAATAAGGACTTGTGTGTAAATTGAAGAAGTCATTGAATGGGCTCAAGCAAGCATCAAGACAATGGTATAGAACATTTAATATGTTCATGATGAGCCTTGGGTA